GCACCAGGACTCTTTCCTGCCCCCCCTGCCTGGGAACGCTGGCTGACAAGGGGTACACCAGCGCTCTCAGGGGGTGCATATGCACTCCCATATACCCCATATGTGTCACCACTAACCCCAGCAGACTCAGAAGTGTTTCAAACCATGGTGATCTCACAGCCCAGAATTGATCAGTACATGTGTGTACTCCAGATACCCCCACAAAGTGTCCACATGCTAATTAGTCCTCCACTCATGACTGGAACTGGGTGTTCATGTCTCAACTCTTGAGACCCTCCAAAAATGTATATTCATATGAGGAAGGGGGCCACCTGGTCCAGCTCCATCCCATGCAGGGCCACACCAGTCACATAAGACAGGCCAAGAAAGTGGGTGACAGAGCGTCTCATCTACATAGACACTTGGTAACATTTGCTGGACATTTAAGGCTGACAAAGAAATAGGAATCATTGGCAATGAAAAAAAAAAACACTGCTCAGCTGTGGGAGTAAAAAGGAAGTTGAAATGTAGTTGATGTTGTGGCTCACTATAACCTGAAAGAAGGATCAGCACTGAGGGGGACACAGCACAATGGATATATTCAGATAGTGCAACCCCATACCTGGCATATTAAATAAGTATGGACCTTGGCCTTGTGCTAGTTGCTCTATGGGAATGCTTAGTATGGGCTGCATTCAACCAACTTTGTAGTTGGTTCCCATAACTGAACATATGCTGCCTCTGGCAGCAGTTTAATGATAAACAAAGTATTGAATGAGCTTTTCCTGATTCAAGGGACTACAAAACGACTTCAAATTTCAAAGTAATGAGGTTTTTCTGGTCCAGGGGACCAGAAAAGGGTTTCAAATTTCAAAGAACCTGTATGTTGAATTATCCATATCCTAAAGCATACAAAAACCTATCCTTTCAGTTAGGGAATGACAATAGCTTCAAAGTATCTAATACTTCAAATGATCCAATATCAAACTAATGAGGTTTTACTATATCACTTCATGGGCAGTTAACACACACACCCCTTATGCTTATGCCCTATTTTCTCATTTGATCTTTGTATATTACAGAAGCCAGCCTGGCATGATATGTAGCATGTTTTGAACACAAATTTTTCAAAATTTTAGAATCATGTGTTTTCATTTGCTTTAATATCACCTGGCATGTTCAAATAAAAATACCAGAATGACTGATCACACATCAGTCCAGACAAGCCTTCCACTGAGTGCAGTCCCCTATGTCTGAGAGTTTATATATCAAAATATCTTAAAATAAAATGCCATTATGGAGAAACCTGTTCACAGGTGAAGTTTTCTCCTAACCCATAACAGTCAGAGGTTGTCTTATGTCCTATATTACTGTTTATAGCATTTCCAAATACAGGAAGTGATCAAAGGTAACAAAGGAAATACTGGAAATAGTGCCCTAGACAGAAAAGAATGCATTATGTTTCATGACCATGTATGCAAATATTACACTGAAGTTAAAAAAAACAAACAAACCAATAAAAATAAAAACCACACACACACACACACACACACCCCCGCCACACAGAAAATAAAGAAATGAGTTCATATCTTATTTCCTTGTCTCTCAAGGAGCACATTTTAGATCTTGTGCAGAGAGCTAAGGAATGCTCATTGCACCTGAAGAAAATAAAAAAACCAAAACATTTCTTGAATCAGTGAGCCTGCTTAATATTCATCTGGAAATAGGCCAACTTACTGATAACAGCATAGGCACTGAAAGAAAGGTGTAGTTCAGCCTGAATTCTTCATTAGTCACCTGTATATCCATTTAGCAACCAGCTAGAACTCAACACACACTCTACTCCCTTACCTATTAAGTTTTACTTCTGGTCTGAAAGAAAAGACAAGGCACTCCAAAATCTGAATTTTCTCTAAGATACATTTTGTATAGGATGGCTGAGTCTGAGTTCTTAACCCAAGCACCATTAAATACAGCTAAGTGCTCTACCATATGCTTTATAGAGCACATATTAGAATTCTCAAAAAAAAGTTTCCTCAGGCCTAAGTACAGATATTCAAAAAGCCTGAGCCTGAACTGATTTAATCTTTGCAGGTTAGTCTATCCTGCCTAGATTGAACCAATTTGCAAGTGATTCACTTTTGATTCTGGAAATGCAGCCACATACCTGCAGTGGCCCAGGCTGGAAGCCGGAGGTTAACTGTCTTAAAAGGACTTTATGAATTAACTTAAGTGATTGAACCACTACATACATTTATTTGTAAAATCTGCTAAACATTAGCTGTGTACTCAAAAAAAATATTTGGAAAGGTTATGCTCTATTTGCATCTAGAAAAATAGATTGAAACCTGTCTTATTTAACTTTAACTAAAAAGTCTCTACTGATACTAACACAATAAAACACATATAAGGGGAAGAATTATTTTCCAGATACTGAAAAATATGCAGCAGGAGCTGATATTTGAGTCCTATATTTAGAAACCATTATCAAAATAATGAGACACCAACTGAGATTCCAGTAGAATCTATATCAGAACTTTCTAACTTGACAGTACAACCATTTCTCTTTGTAAAAATAGCAGTAAGCGTTTTATGGCTGTAAAAACATGAAACATGAAGCATTTGAACTTAATCTTGAATGACTTCACTTAAATCTGTAAATTTTGTATTTGTTGCTATTTGTTTATAAAGTGTATTAGTCTGATATTTTTGCTGTACTTGATTTATTGGCTTGTTAGCTTGACATCTATCCAGTCTGCTTTTAGACAAAAGCCCAATTTTTCATACCCATGAACAAAGTGTAGTCTTATACTGTTTCCTGGAGCTCTCTCCCTTCTTTTAGAAGCTGCACTTTTTCGTTTTTCTTTGCATTGCTCTTTAAGCTGAGGTAGATCTTCTTTGTAAACCTTTAAGAAAGAGTATACATATACATAAATAGAAACAGTCTCAGGAAGAACAAGTATCGGGGAGAAACATCTATCAAAGTTTTCCACAAAAAAGGGTACAATGATATCACTGTGGACATCTGCAATGACTGTAGCCAAAGGGCTATATTACTTGTTTTTTAATTACAAACAGTAGGGTAGGACAAACTGTTATGACTGTATGCAACCACTGTCTTTCTGATGTATTTGAGTATTCTGAATTCATCAGATACTGACAATGAGCCAAAATCCTAAAGTTCTTGCTCAGTCTGCATTTCAATAAAACTTCAGTTGATGTTAGAGTTTTCTTTAAAAAGGGCCAGGTAAAATCTTCAGAAATAAGTCAGAATCTGTTCCTGTGCTATTAAAACTCAGAGCTTACCTGTCGACGGTATGTAATCTGAGTCTCTTGTTCAATTTCAGAGTCCAGCTCTGGAACATCAGACTGATCTGAATCTGATTCATCACTATTAGAATCAACTAGACTTTCTGTGATCAGGAAAAAAAAGAATAAGGAGACAACCTAATTAATATAGACTATAGTCCAGAAAAAGACTTCAGTAATTCTGATTTGTAATGACTTCTGATAAACTATAACATGAGCTGCTAGCTAACCTGTTATAAAAATCAATGAAAGTTTCATCATTCTCCTAATTCAAAAGGTCACTAACCTGTACTTTCTTTTAACTTTAACTATGTTGCTTTATTTTTCTTTTTAATAGCTAGCTTTCATGTATTTAAATTACTTCATAGACATTCCAGTGCACTCCAGCAGACAGGGAACTAACTGTTCGATGGAAGACCTGGGTTCCTTTCTGACTCTCTCAATGGTGTTTCTCAACTTCCACAGCTGTGAAATAGCAGACATTATATTCACCTTCCTTTCTAAAAAAACCAAATTGGACATGTATTATTACTAATAACCAGGGATCTGGGTTTCCCGTTTCCCACAGTAAAAATGAGCATTTCCCCCTTTACCAAAGAAAAAAGCGGATTTTTAATTTTAACAGGGAAACATGCAGATCTTGCACTTTTTCATAGGCTCTCTGTAGGCTGGCAGAGTTCCAGCCTGCAAGGGGCTGGTGGAAGCGGGAGGAGGGCAGTCAGGCAGGGTCCCTGCACCATGCGCATGTATATGCACATGGCTGCCAGTCAGCCTGGAGAGCAGCTCCCACAGATAAGCCTGGTGAGGGATGGGGGGAAGAGGAGTGGGGATTGAGGCGCCCATAGGGAGGAAGGGAGTTGGGCAAAGCTGTGGCTAGGGCTGCTGCCCAGCCGGGCAGCACTTAGGGCCTGGAATGTGCGGCCACAGGGCTCCAGCAAGGAGTGGGATGGGGCTGCAGGTGACTTGTCCAGGAGGCGTGGGACGGGGTGGAGCCAGCTCCCCATCACTGTGCACACTCCTGGGAGGGCTGGGGGGAGGTAGGGCATGTGCCCTCCAGCTGTGTATACGGGGTGGGCTGCCTACTGTGGGCTCAGGCTCCCTGCCCTGTTGCCCTCCCCCAAGGGCATCTGCAGTCCAGTGGGTAGGCCTCGGCATGGCAGGACAGAGTAGACCCAAGCAGGGAAGCTCCTTGCCACTGCAAGCCCTGCCTCACCTGGGTGAGGCATCCCCTGCCTGCCCAGCAACAGTGGGGGTAGCAGTGTGGGGTCACATTGCCAGGGCAGTGCAGAGCTCATAGCAGCAAGGAGCTTCCCCACCCAGCCCCTCTCTGCGCTGCCATGCTGGGTCCCACCCACTGGGCTGTGGAGGCTCTGGGGGGAGGGCAGCAGGATGGGGAGCCTGAGCCTGCAGTGCGCAGCCTGCACCTGCACTGCACACAGATCTGAGGGGCATGTGTCCTGCCTGCTCCTCCCCAGAGTGTGCACAGCAGTGGGGAGTCAGCCCCACCCACTCCCCAAGACCGCAGGGGAGGGGGAACCACGCTCCACACTTCATTCTGCTGCAGCAGCCACCACCTCCCATGGGTGGCAGCAGGGGCTCAGGAGCTGCCGTGGGGACAGGGGGCTATGGACCTGGGTCCCTGGGGAGTGAGGGGCACATCAGGGCCGGGGGGCCTCTGGCTTGGGAGTGAGAGGCCTGGACCTGAGTTTCATGAGCTAAGGGGGCAGGGGTAGCTCTGATTTTCTATTGTAAAAAACCCAAAATAAAAGTACCAAAATTTATAGTTATTTAGAATTTATTTTATTATAATGATTGAGGCACTGGTAGGCTTCCAAAATGCTTTAAAAGTGTAAATATATCAATGAAACCTTGTGGTCAATATATTGATATATAGTGATATATAGTGGCATTTCATTTAAATTGCAGATTTGGGGGGGTTTTAATCAGAGAATTTGCAATTTTTTTATCAGAGAAAACCAGGATCCATGGTAATAATAATAATATATTCTAAATGGAATGACTAATTATTAATGTTACAGAGGTAACTGTATTTTAGGGGAAAAGTTCCCAATTCAGCACAAGCATGTTTGGACAAACTGGATATCTGTATACCCAGATCAGATGACAACATAAAATTTCCTACATTACATGTAACTGAACAATTTGTATCCACAAAAGTACATTTTTGTCGATACAAGTTTAATAACTTTTGAAAACTGGAACTACTGTGTTCTATTTACTGTTGGAAGCCTGAAATATGCATGAGAACAGATTTTAACTTCCATGGTTAAAATAGATACATGTTCACATGACTGGGTCTTAAGCCCTTTAAGAATTACCAGTCATAAATAAGAGAAGGAATTAAGACTAGAAGGGGAGTGGTAGGGGTGCGCGAAACAGGCCGTATTCGATTCAGATTAAGCCCGAATCAGGGACAGTGATTCAATTCGTTGATTCGGATCACTGTCCCTGATTCTATTCAGCGGAATCCAAATCTGAAGAGTCGATGCTGACTCAGAGAATCATCTATCTGGCCATGGACACTTCAAGCTTTAAATGTTTTTTCTACATACCTCAAGGTACCAGGTGCAGCTCGTGAATGCTGTGATAGTGGGGCGGATGGAGCATCCCACAGGAGCGTGGGGAGCCCCCCCTGCATGCTTGGTGGTGAACCCGGAAGTGGACCGGAAGTACTTTTCAGAAAGATTCTGATTCGATGGCTGCCCTACCTGGCCCCATCTCCGCTGCCCCTCTATGCCTCACACTGCATAGGGGGGCTCTGCCACGAGCCCTCAGAGGCCCTGATTGCCACTGCTGCAGCCGGTGAGTGCAGGGCTTTTTTAAATTTATTTTTATTTTTTAAGGGACAGGATGCTGGGGCCAGGCAAGGGATGGGGCCAGGCAGGGAAGCCATGGGGGCTTCTCCTGCAGCTCCCCCTGCCTGGCACAGCTGCTCCCCCCACAGGCACAACCAGAGGAACCATGGGAGAACCTGCAGCCACCCAACTGTGCCTGCCTCTGCCCAGCTGATCTGAATCTCTGAATCTCTCCGAATCAATTCAGAGGCTTCAGATTCAATTTGGACCTTTTAATGCATTTCCCGATTCAATTCAGATTTGGAGATTTGGCCACCTAATCGGGCCAAATCTCCTCCAAATCAAATTGGCAACCGAAGCTTCATACAGCCCTACAGAATAGATAATACAGGAATCAAATACTAAGAATTAAAGGAGGATAATGTAATGAATCACAATCACTATAGGCTTAAAAAAAAATAGATCTCGACTAACTGGGTCCTTTTTCTGATGAATTACATGTTTGGTTGATAAAGATAATCATAGAATTATAGGGCTGAAAGGGACCCTGAAGGATCATTGGATCCAGCCCCCTGCATGAGCAGGAAAGACATCTGGGGTCAGACAACCTCAGCCAGTTGACCGTCTAGTCTTCTCTTGAAGACCTCTAGGGTAGATGATTGCACCACCTCTGGGGGGAGCTTGTTCCATAGTCTGGATCCCTTGGTGCAAAGAATGTTTTCCTAATGTTCATCCTGAAATTATCTTCCAGGAGTTTGTGGCCATTGTTTCTAGTTTTCTGCCAGGGCGCCCTGGTGAACAGTTGTTCACCGAGCCCCTGATGTATGCCTCTGATATAACGGTAAGCTGCAATCAGGTCCCCTCTTAGCCTTCTTTTCTTTAGGCTGAAGACTCTGAGATCCCTCATCCTCTCCTCAAATGGCTTGCCATGCAAGTCCCTGATCATGTGGGTGACCCTTCTCTGGACCCTCTCGAGCTTTAGCACATCCTTGTTGAAGTGCGGCACCCAAAACTGGACACGCTACTCCAGCTGCGGCCACACCAATGTTGAGTAAAGTGGGAGAATCATTTCTTTGGATTTACTGGAGATGCATTGATTGATGCCAGAGTTTTATTGGCCCTAGTGGCTACTGCGTCGCATTGCTGGCTCACATTCATACTGGGGTCTATTGTTACCCCCAGATCCCTTTCATTTGTAGTGCTGGTCAGGTTAGCGATGCCCAGCCTGTAGTTGTGCTGGGGGTTCTTCCTTCCCAGATGCAGCACTTTGCATTTCTCTATGTTGAACCTCATCTGGTTCTGTCCTGCCCAACATGCCAGTCTGTCTAGGTCTCCTTGTATCTGCAGCCAATCTGTGAGTGTGTCCGCACAACCCCATATCTTGGTGTAATCCACGAACATGGCCAATGGCAACTATGCCATAATACACTTCCTTAAGTCATTAGCCCTGGTATAAAAGACTTTAAGAAACTGGAATGAATTAAAATAGTCAACATAGTAGACAATATAAGTAGATTAAAGACTAGCAAACTGACAGGTATCACAATGTCATTTGAAACTGAAGGAATCATCATCAATCATTGTCTTACTAGTGGTGTCCCACAAAAAATGAGTTCTTGACCCTACTCATTTTAATGTTTTTATTAATGACCTGGAAAACAACATAAGAGAATTTCTGATACAAATTTGCAGATACTGATGGAGTGATAAATAATGAAGGGTCACAGGTACAGAAGAATATAAAATGCCTGTTAAACAAGTTGAAAGCTATATGTATTACAATACAGCCAAGTGAAATGTGATCCAACTTTCAAGGAATGTAGGCCATACTCACCAGATGTGGAATTCTGTCTTCAGAAGCAGTAACCAATAAAGTTATAGGCTACTAACACACATCCGGGGGGAGGGGGGGGGACACTTTACCAGAAGAAGCAGAATGTTAGTTTGACCTGGCTCCCCAGCATCTGAATAGATTGGGTGTTTCAGCGGGGCTTTTTGGCAGGTTTATCTAAAGCTGATTGAATCAGCTGTTAGATAAAAGTGCCAAAAAGCCCTGCTGAATCATGCTATCTATGCAGATGTTGGGTGAACTAGGTCAAGCCAATACTATGCCTCTTCTGAGCATGTGCTGCACTTGGCACAGGGGTGCACTGTGCTGAAAGTAAAGCGCTGGGTTGGTTGCTGTTTTCTGGTTGTTGTTTTTTTTTTGTGGGGTGGGGGGGTTCATGTCTGTAAGCAGCCTTAGGTATCATGGTAGATAATCAGCAAAATGTGAGCTCCCCAGGCAATTCTGTGCCCAAAGTTAGTTACTAGTGCTACACTTGGATGCATGTAAGAGGGAATATCAAGTCAAAGTAGGGACATTGAATTACCTCTGTATAAAGCACTAGTATGTGGACCACCACATCAGCACCAAGTTCTGGTGTTTACAATTCAAGATGAATGTCAATAAAAGAGAGAGGAATTGAGATAAGAAAGTACAAGAAAGATAAAGGATTGGAAAACATACCTCATAATGAAAGACTCAAAAGAATCACCTTGTTTATGTCACAACCCAAGGGTGTGATTTGATGTGTGCGCGCTTCGGCACTGCTAAATTATTTCCC